GAGGCCCCCACACCCACAGATGAGGCACCGGCACCGCCTCAGAAGGAGCCGTTCGCCGGACGTGGCGCGCGACCACTCTCCTCTCCCTCCCAGGCATCTGGCGGAGTGGGGGTAGCGGACTCGGTCAATGTGGAAGAGGAGAGCGCGGTCTTCCGAGGACCCCCTCCTGTGCAACCGGCGGTGCAAGCCGATGGATCGAAAAGACAGACGCAGCCCAGCATGAGTGTGGAGCAGGCTGCGAAGCCGACTTTCCAGATCTATGTCGGAGATCCGCACAAAGTGGGAGACCTGACAAGTAGTCACATTGTTTATCAAGTTTCGACAAAGGTAATTGGACTACACGGACATGAAGCCTACGGGTTGGAAAAGAAGAAGCTGACAGTAATTGGTATGGTTAGACAACATCTAAGGCTTACCGCCAACCCGAGTTCACCGTCAGCCGTCGATACCGTGATTTCCTCTGGCTCTACAACTCCTTGCACGGCAATAACCCCGGAGTGGTTGTTGCGCCTCCGCCCGAGAAGCAAGCAGTTGGTCGGTTCGATACTAACTTTGTAGAGTCGAGGAGAGCTGCTTTGGAAAGAATGCTTAACAAGATTGCCGGCCATCCTATTCTTCAACATGATGGCGATCTAAAAATCTTCCTAGAGAGTGAAGCTTTCACCGTTGATGTTAAGAATAAGGAAAACCGAGAGCCCGATATTGGCCCAAGCAAGGGAATGCTGAGCTCCTTTGGTATTTCCGTTGGTGGAGGAAGCAAGTTTGTGGAACACGACGATGTAAGTGAAAAGTTTCTGATACATCGGTCTTCCCTACTCACATATAGATAGTGGTTCCACGACCGAAAAGTCTATTTGGACGCATTGGAGAACCAGCTGAAGGCTCTATTGAAATCAATGGACACCGTGGTTCTGCAACGAAAGGGACTGGCCGAGGCCGCAGGCGACTTTTCGAGCTCATTGCATGCCTTATCTGCTGTCGAGCTGTCTCCCGCCCTCTCCTATCCATTGGAAGGCTTGTCAGAACTTCAATTGCGCATTCGGGAACTTTATGACCGACAGGCACAGCAGGATGTTCTGACGCTTGGAATCACGATCGATGAATATATCCGTTTAATTGGAAGTGTCAAGATGGCTTTCACACAGCGACAAAAGGCCTTCCATACCTGGCATGCAGCAGAGTCCGACCTACAGAAGCGCAAGAATACCCAAGACAAGCTACTCCGCCAGGGCAAGACTCAGCAAGACCGCTTGAACCAAGCCAACGCCGACGTTGCAGATGCAGAGCGTAAAGTCCACCAAACGCGGCTGCTTTTCGAGGATATGGGCCGACTTATGCGGAGCGAGCTACAACGGTTCGAGAAGGAGAAGGTGGAGGACTTCAAGTCTGGTGTGGAAACATTCCTTGAAAGTGCAGTTGAAGCTCAGAAAGAGGTAAGTCCTTTCCAACTCTTGCAGGTTTATCCCATCCCACTAACCCCAAATACAGCTGATCGAACTCTGGGAGACATTCCTCCTGCGTCTAGATGCTGGCGAGGAAGGACTTCCATATTATGTACCACCCGGGGAGGGCGATGCATCAGCTCCCGCAGAGCCCACACCCACAGGGTCAGGCCCGGAATCGGGGTCAGTGGCCACTGAGGATGGCGCTTGATATCCCTCCTATTCCGGATGCTTTTTCACAACCCCGAAACTAGCGCCGGTTTATCTCGTCTTGGTTTGTATTCATTATTGGACAACCCTCCAGGGCTTTCGCGATGTTTGTTTATGTCATGCTGCAACTGATGATGATCCTCAGCAAGCTGATAAGCTTTGTGTTTTTCTATTTCCGCTTCATTCCGAATACCACTGTTCGCGTACTGTAGCAAATAAATTCATTATCTGCCTAGTCAGTTATACTGTCCTGTATCCATACATCTTCCTCTAGCCCTGGATCGATACTTGGCATACCTAGCATAGACCACTCCCATCAAGCAGCGGAATATCCGCGAGCATAGTACTTTGTGGGCTGGGTCGAATGTTTCTGAGGTGAGGTGATGGATGGAGCGAAAGTTTTCATCATTATTATTATTATCATCATATCACTATCTTCCTAGGATCTGGACCGTTTGCCATCCTCCATGATTCCACGACATTCAATAATATGAACGGTTACGCGTAAGGCGGGAGGGCCTTGACTTAAGAAGATGTCGCAGAGGGAAGTACAATCCTCGAAATCAGTATAACCTATCCAGGCATTCCTAGCTTATCTCTTACAGCTCCATGTGATCGTCGTCACGTCCCGTTCATTGCCGTCCCCGTGGGTTCAAAAATGGCTTGGTATGCACCTCCAGATGTGACTTGTTATGCAACATGACGCCAAATGCCTCCACAAGAACGCGAGGTCCGATTGTAGCTGGATCGATGAACCGGATCCCAGAAGTGTCGGTGTGGTAGAAGTACGACCGCAAATTGACCATAAGAGCAAAAGAAAAACGCAAACTACCGAATTCTATCGCATACACATATTGTAATTGATGATTTTCTGTCGGTAACAGCATCTCTAAGCTAGGGCCCGGAGTAACGGGTAAGCGAAAGGGACATTCTGTTCCCCTGAACGAGGTGTTTTCCGTTTTCCCTGGTATGCCTTTTTTTATAGGTTTTTCTATATGATACTTATCCCTTGCATGCTTTTCCATTGTTTCGGCAATCCTTCGTGATGGGAATCCACAAGCAAGGGTTACTCAAAGTAACATCGCTAGTAATAGGAACCATCTCAAGAGACTCTCTTAACCTATGCATTATAAAGAGCGCTAAAAGATACTGGTAGGGCGAGTTGAACGATATACTACCAAATTTGCTCCTGCCAAATCACAAGGAGCGTGCAAGAAAAGATCTCAAGGTCACATAGTAGAGCTGCATCTTCAAGAATATCGCTACACGATGACCCGAGTCACATCCACAATATTTTGCATCACTGGCGGCGCATCTGGCATTGGTGCCGCGACATGCCGCCTTCTTGCTGAACGAGGTGCCACGGTTCTGGCAATCTGTGATATCTCGTCCAAGCGCTTCGACGATGTCAAACTTTCCATCGAGAAGGTTAATCCTTCAACCGAAGTACACTGCACTGTCGTTGACGTGACATCTTCGGCGCAAGTTACGCAATGGATTCAGAGTGTTGTGTCTCAATTCGGTGACCTTCACGGAGCCGCCAATGTTGCTGGCATAGCTCAGGGTGCCGGCTTGCGAAGCACCCCTACAATCACAGGGGAGACGGACGATGAATGGCACAAAATCCTGGATACAAATCTGAATGGGGTGTTCTATTGCACGCGTGAGCAGGTGCGGGCAATGAAGAGCCTTCCCCCAGGTGATAGGAGTATTGTCAATGTGGGCAGCATTGCGGGCTGTTCTCACATGCCGGATGTCTATGCATATGGTACCTCCAAGGGCGCCTGTGCTTATTTCACACATTGTGTGGCCGCTGATGCAATCTCCGTGGGCATTCGGGTGAACAATGTCTCCCCAGGTGAGCTACTTCTCTTTTATCCCCCCCCCCTCCCCCAAGTCCCCTACCAGCCTGCTGACAACCAATACACGTTCCAGGTGTTACAAACACTCCCATGCTCCCGCAATTTGCTCCAAGTGCAAAGACATTTGAGGAGATTGAACAATCGTACAAAGCGGAAGGGCTTACCTTGATCGAACCCGAGGATGTGGCTAGAACTATTGCTTGGTTGCTGAGTGGGGACTCACGGCCGGTATATGGGGCCAACATCAATGTCGGCGCCTGTCTCCCCTGATTGAAGTGGACTTCTATGTTCAATCGAGTCACTAGAAGAGTTTGGGGTGATATGGCCTTTTGTAGATAAGTTACGCGAAGTTGGACAGGTTTATCTAGTGTTGAGTATCATTGCAAACAATGCAGCACTCACTTTCCCCCACTACCTGAAGTATTAGGCAGCGTGCCAGCTTCATGATTCAATCTTATCACGTGAACGTACAAATTAGTGAAATAATTCTCGCCGTTCCAATGTCTCTCCCCGCTTGACTATGCTGAAATTCCGCATGTGCTACGAAACATTCTTAGATCGTTCATTCTCGTTTTAACGGCTGAAGCATCAGAAAAATATGAAAGGTGTAAAGGGTGACCGGAGTATTACGGATCATCTAGCCCCCTTGCGTTCTACGGGCCTTCATTAAGTCTAGTTAGTGAATGTGCGGTGAAATGGTCTATAAGTGCTGTTGCTTCCTATCTAAATAAAACCCCACGAAGAACTAATCGTACACTGCCGTCCTCGTGCGGGTCATTCTCGTCCACGATGGAAGGTTTATCCAAGTTGGACTTGCTCAGTCACGGAGGGCATGACCTTGGAGAATCTTCGCTGCTTTTACCGAAGCTCTTTTGTCTCATCCTAGCGGTGTTTGTATTTCGATTTCTCTGCCCATCTTCAGAAAACTCCGCGTTTCCCACCATTAATAGTAAAGGGGTTCTGAACTTCAGCGACCGGCAGGTAGTCAAGGATTTTACCACAAAAGCTGAGGAGCTCATGAAGAATGGTTTGAAGGTGAGTAGGGCATCCTCACGCAATAGGCGTACTGCCTATGATATGCTAATCTCCGTTAATACCCATTCTCTTTGATTCAGAAGTATGATATTTTCCATATAATCACCGGCATTGGTCCGATGACTATCCTGAACCCCAGATACACCAACGAAATATACAAGGACAAACGTTTGAGTTTTATGGCGGTACTGGCCAAGGTAAAGAGATAAAGTGAACAAGTGATGCCCGGTGAAGGGTATAAATTCGCAAATGTCTGACAAGAGCTTAGGAAATGTTCCCGGAATACCCTGGCTTTGATCTCTTTAGAGAAGGGACGGATGGGAGTACGGTCATACAAGACGCCGTCAAGTTAGGATCAACCCGGTGTTTGAGTACGTACCGAATCCCCATTTTCAGAAGGGCAAGCTCATCCTTTTTCTTTTTCGACGCTACAGGTAATTCCACCAGACTCATGTCAGGGAAGGTTGGTATTCTACTCGAAAAAGCCTGGGGCGATGAGTCGAGTAAGCGTCCCTGTGCTCCCTCCAGGGCTTTCTCCAGCCGGAAAGATAGCCTCATGGGGCACGTGCCGAGTACTTAATGCTGGAACCAGCCCACTGACTACCTGCAGATTGGCACAATGTGGTCACAAAATCTTCCGTCCACGAAATCATCGGCCATATATCGGCCTTTCTATTCTACGGGCCGGAATTATCCAAGAATCAAGAATGGCTGGAAGTCACAGAAGAGTATACTTCGATTGGATTTGAAGCAGCACGCGAGCTACGCCTTTGGCCCCATATTCTTAGACCCTTTATTCACTGGTTTCTGCCCTCTTGTCGTCGACTGCGGTATCTTGCCAGGAGAACACGGAGCTTGATCGAGCCGGTTATCGCCGCTCGAGAGCTCGAGAGCTCCAGACGTGAGGCAGAGGGCCAGGAGCCACTCACATACGACGACGCGATCGAATGGACCAAAAAAGCTGCCAAGGGGCGTCAGTACGATGCGGCGATGAGCCCGTTGCTTTTCTCGATCAATGCCCTCCACACAACCACCGACCTATTGACGCAGACCCTTCTAGACCTCAGCACGAGGCCCGAATTGATCCAGGCCCTGCGTGAGGAGGTCATCTCAGTTCAACCCCAGGAAAAATGTTGGAAGAACTCAATCCTAGGGCAACTACGGCTGATGGATAGTGCCGTGAAAGAAAGCCAACGACTGAAACCCACTGAGTCGAGTATGTATGCCCCTACTTTTATCTTCGTGCTGCTTTCCCAAGTTGTACTTTAGCTATATGCTGATTTATTCAACGTTAAATTAGTCCTTATGAGAAGGTCCGCGATGCAAGACATTACCTTCGCGGATGGCACCCAAATTCCCAGAGGGACAGTGCTCGGCATCCCCATCTTCAACATGCGAAACCCAGAAATATACCCCAACCCTGACACATACGATGGCCATCGATTCATGAAAATGCGGAAGGAGACTGGCTCTGATGGAGTAAGCCAGCTTGTTGCGACAAGTCCAATTCATTTGGGTTTTGGTCATGGAATCCATGCATGCCCAGGGCGGTTTCTTGCAGCAACCCAGGTTAAAATCATACTCTCCCATATGGTGATGAAATATGATTTCAAGCTGGGTGATGGCTCAGAGACGAAGTTTGATTCTTTTGGTATAGAGTTAATCTCAAATTCGGAAGCGACACTGGCAGTCAGGAGAAAGGAAGACGAGGTAAAATTCTAGAAAATCGTGATCAGCCTCACTTAGTGCACGAGCACTTAGATAAACATGATTACCTTCAGTTCAAACCATACATGTTTTTACCAGGCACAAACAACACAAAGATTAAACTATGATCTATTCTTTGAGGTGGAAATCTATCTCACATTTATTGATCTTCTGTAAACGCAAGGAAAGTGCTGGGGGTCGACAGCACATCCCACGGAATGTTTTCAGCTCTCATGGTTCCAACGGAACGGTAGCCCTTGACATGGATAGTAAGCGATGCAAGGTATATGAGTCCTCTGAAAATGTGCTTGTTTGCAAAGCTGTGCCTTCAAGTGCCATAGCTCCCCCAGATGCCGAGCCCTAGTATTGTATTCCATGTCACATAAAGCTCGCATGCCAAAGAGCACAGCAATGCAAGGATGGTAGACCTGACCCCTATACCGCTGCGTACCGCGTACTTCCTGTGGAATGAATGCATCTTCTCTGGATTCACAAGTATATTAGCGGTGAGAACAATTTAGTATGAGATACTCTTTGCAAATGCTTCAGCATATTTTGGACTCTGCAAGGGATTCGGAGCTTTATCCGCTTTTAATATTCGCTTTTAATATGTGGAAGACACTCTCCTTGCAAAATGGCTTATTATTACAAACACCGCAGTAGTTTCTGGAGCCTCATTAAAAAAAAAAAAAAAACATAATTTACCTATTCTCACTTGGAGATGAAGCAACAACCAGTTTTCAAATCCTTCCGTTTGAGTCCCGTGGACCATACTCTGCCCAAAGTCTACATTTTCAAGACCTTGTATTTCCGCCCAGTGGATAACATAAACAGTCTTGCGCGCCTCCGAGATGGTATAGACCGTCTGATATCATGTCTGGCTTTTCTCTCTGGAGAAGTTGTACCATGTGCGGATCTCCCCGATAAAATTGGGGTCCTTCAAGTGCAGATGCCTGGTCTCTCTCTCCAAGACATTCCCATGCTCTTGGTCAAGTCCTTTCCCAACAATGCATGGACAGGGGGATCGAACAATTATCCTTCACTATATCATCCGCTCCCGGGTTTTATTCCGCCATCGAAGCCCAGACCTGTGGTACGCTTCCAGGCCAATCTCCTGGCTGAGGGACTCGTGCTATGCATGGGTTACAACCATGCTGTTTTTGATGGCACAGGCGCGGGTTATATCCTTGAAATGCTGGCCGATTGCTGCCGTGCTGAGCCTGCTAGCATAGTTTCTCTTCCGACCACTAGTGAGGTTGAGTCAAAACTACGCGTGATGCTGTCCGATGCAGCAGTAGCACTTGCGGATGATTTTCAGGTGGAAATTCCCAGTCACTGCGTGCACACGGATATAGATCCCGAACCATTCCCTGCTATGCTCTGCAATCAGTCGTTCCTGCTGTCTTCCGAGAGAATCGATTGTATGCGAGACGCATGCAACGGCCTTTTACCACATCTTGTACAAACATACAGATGCCTTCATGAGTTAGTTGTCCATCCGGACATGAACTGGCCAAAATTTCTCTCTAGTAATGATGTCCTGACCGCGTTGCTCGCGGTAAGTGTCGAAAAAGCCAGGACAGCAGCAGGAGCCCAGGGGCAAAGGAGCAATAGCCTTGCAATGGCGGTGGAGTTTCGAGGACGATTAAAGGGCATGCCGGCGCATTACCTTGGCAACCTGGTGACCACTGTATGGGCAACTCACAATCGACCAAGTGAAAATAACCCGGATACGATGGCTCCAACAACTCCAACATTTAATCTACCAGGTATCGACCAGGATGATCTCCTTTGGATCGCCCATGTTGCTTTCCGTGTCCGGCTTGGGCTGAATGCTATCAGTGACGAGTATATACGTGGATTGGTCCACTACCTGTACAGTCAGGATGATTGGGGCCAAATCGGTATTCCCTTTACCGACCCTATTTTCATCAGCAGCTGGCGGCATCTGAAAGTTTATGAGCTGGACTTTGGTCTAGATATTGGGCAGGTCGAGAACTTTGAAATGGACGTCGGCAACTCGGATGGCGTATGCATTGTTATGCCAGCTCATCATAAAAGAGCTGGCGGAATGACCAAAAAGGCTCCATGGGACATTCGTTTTATCTTGAATCCGGAGGTCATTGAACCCTTGATCAATAACTCACTCCTTCTTTGGGCTGTGGCGAAGGGCGTTTCCAGTCGTTGATTATTAGTGGAATGTGTGTAGGAGGCTGAACTCCATGAAAGGACGGACGAGTTGCGCCTCGCGTCCTCTTTCTTCGTTCTTTTGTTCTGACTGGCGTGGCAAGATAACTATGACCAATGGCATAAGGTTATAATTCCACTACTGTATCTTCGCCTTCTGCAGATTATACCTTCCTCAAATAAAGGGGAAATGGTTACTATGTCAGCTCGCAGTATTATCGCGCCTACTCTGTATCCTAGAGAATTACCATTTTGGATATTCCAAGTTCGGCTATACACAGGAGCAGGAGCCTAAGCGCCCTCATAAAAGCGGCGGCACCCCGATCGGGAAATTCACGACCGTAGCCTAAAATCCGGTACATACAGGTACATATGTATATTATACAAGATCAAAAACACAACAAAAAAAGAAACAAAAAGAAAGAATCCCAACTCCCATCCAAGCGGCAAAACCAGAACAACCTGATTCAACCCAAGAATCCCAAACCCACTATTTCTTTCCAGTGAACTTAGGGGTCTTCTTCTCAGGCGGGGGCGGCGCCTCATTCTGTCCGAATGCACTAATCAAATCAAGCAAGTTATCCTCCTCTTCCTGGTCAGCCTTAGCCTGAGCCTTAGCCTCCGCCTCCGCCTGCTTAGCAGCAACAGGGTCCTTAGCCGCCTCTTCAGTAACAGGCGCGTTGGCATCAAAGCTGCGACCGAATCTGGCACGGAAAGCAGCCAGACGGCCGGCCTCGTCCTCCTCGACATTCATCAGCTTGCTGCTGGACGGGTTCCAGAGGAGGGAGTTGCGCGTGTCGCGCGTGGAGCGGTAGATTGGGGCCGGGGAGGTGGTGCGGTGCGTGAAGGTGCTGCCGTCCGAGAGAGTGATGAGCTGTGTGAAGGTGTAAGGGCGCTTGGGGCGACGGAGGAGTGTTGCGTGTCGGCATTGGGAGCAGACGAAAGTTGTGCTCGATTGCGTGGGGAGTCTTGTAGGGAGGATGGTGGTTGTTGAGTTGGTGATTGTGGCCGCTGTGCGGCGGAGGGAGGTGTGCATTGACATGTTGGATGGGTTTGTTCGGCAATGCCGATTGGAAATAGTAATGGGGATTGTTCGGGTGGGCGGAGGTTGACGGGGTCGCAATGCTATCGGGGAGGTTGCGGAGGTTGTGAAGTTGATGCTATAGCAGAGAAATTATCGCGGGTTATGTAAGCGGGTCTGTTCTTTTCGGGATTTTCATAACGATGTTCGGATGACTTCATACTGCCCCATGTCTCTGTGAGTCTCTCTTTTTTATCTGGTGGTTTAGACATGAATTGGCAGAGTCTTGATATCTGTGATTTTGTGCCCTCCGTGATCCCCTGAGCACCTTTCAAAGCTCCGTCAATTGTAGGCCGCCGGGATGAAGCTCGCCTTTCCAGTCGCGCATGGGACTGCTCGGACAGGACTCGGAGGTAGGTTGTCATGATGTATTTCCAAGTGTTTCTGTCAATTTTACTAATGGGAACCGTTAGAACTATTATGCATTAAGAACTATACACCCCTGTTCCTGGGAACATCTCTTTCCCTCGGCACATCTCCGGCTGTACCATATACCCAATACCGATCACGATGCGATCGACGATATACCAGCAACTCCACAGCCCCTTTAAAAGCAGATGACCGTGTAGGGCAGGTCAATACCTCATGCCATGCAGGCAAAGTCCCAAAACCGCCAACACCATCAACATATATATCCGATCAAGTCCGCCTCCTCATGCGTCGAGTCCCCTACCCCGTCGCAATCATAACAGCAACCGATCCCTCCGGTCCAGAAAACACAACCTCCTTCCGTGGCATGACCGTCTCCTCCTTCAGCACCGTCACTCTCACTCCACACCCTGTGATCTCGTTCAACGTGCGCCGCCCATCGGAGACATTGAATGCGTTGCTTGCTTCGCGCCGGTTTCTGGTTCATTTGCTTGCACCGGGCCCAGCGACTGCTACTTTAGCCAGGGATTTCTCTAAGGGTAATGTCACCCTCGCTGCTATGTTGAGGGGACATGGACAGTTTGAGTTCGCGGCTTTGCCTACCGAGGACGAGGACGGATCTCCTCAAAGACCGCTTCCTATTCTTAAGCGGAGAGCGGAAGCAGTAGCTGTGAATGATGGTGTCGACTTTCCTTTCGTTTTTGAATGTACCCTACATCCGGAGAAGATCGATGTCCATGATCACTCGATTGTGCTGGGTACTGTTGTTCGGACGATCGAGGGCTCTGGGTCTGTTGAGGCGCAGGGACTAGATGGCAAGGTCTTGGATGAACATTCGCCTGAGCGGCTTTGTTTAGCGTATGCAAATACCAAGTTTTGGAAGATGGGGGGTGAACTTTGAGCTGGCATGTCTAGTTCATGTGAGCCCTGGATGAAGAATGCTTCATCGCTTATGCCCTCCGGCAAAGCACTGTATTATATATATATATTTGGGAATATGGCGTTTGAGCTGTATATAGACTTTTGATTAGACATATGGTATCACAGCCAACTTCCACGGCCTATCCACCATATGATCCTACAGTAAACATGGAGAGATGAAGATGAGAAATGCTTTCATGATATTGATGCGTCTACGCTTTTTGTGAGAGAGAGTATACAAGAACCGAGTATAGAACACTTTTTGTTTTCGGTGTTAGGAACAGAGATGCCATGTATCTCACTTCGATCAAATTCGTATAGTTGCTATCTCATCGCGAGATGCATGCCACATACCGCAATGGCTCAAGAAACCAGGAGCCATCACAGTGCAGGCCGACGAGAAAGAGATTGACTAGTACAAGGCGGGAATCCAACCAGACGGAACCAAAAGTACGGA